TGAAAGATGGGTAGTTAGGGGCGTGGCGGGGAGACAGCAATTTGCACACAGCGGTTCAGGGCGAGAACATCTATGAATCACAGGCCAAGGCCCTACCATCTGTATGCCTGCGTCACTTATGCCACAACCAAGGGAAGGACAAAACACACTATGATCTGGGGAGGACAGCGAGGGAGAGGCTGTCCCCACTCAGGGCCAGGACGCACTCCCTACTCAGGCCGGCCATGGCACTGCCCCTTCTCCACACCCTCCCAGACCTCTCTGGCCACTGCCATCTCCTCCCGAAAGGCTCGGATGAGAGCATGCTATCTTTTTACATTCTGGCTGGCATTTTTGCTGCCTCTCCATTTCCATGGGAAGGCAGTGGCCAGCCATGCTGTAACCCAAGGAGGCATCGAGTCCCTCCCATGATAGCTCGTGAATACCTCAGGCCATTTCATCAGATGAAAGGTCAAGTTTAGGGCCAGGACAACGCCCAGGAAAACCAGTGTGGCACCCAGTGAAGTACCCTGCCTCTCGCCAGAGCTTGTCCACTGAATTGTCAGCGTGAGTGTCTTTGAAGAATTCCCAAGACTGCAGGCTCCCTCACAGGAGTGTACCTACCTGGGGGAAGGTATTTCCTTGTTATGCTCTGTCTTTGCACACTGGGCAGGTTATCCCAATGTCATTCAGAATCACCTCACCTGTCATTCTGTCCTGTCCACCACCCAGACCAGGAAATGAGGAGAGAAGATCCATAAGTTTCTGTAAGAAATGGCAGGAAGGCTGTGTACAAAAAAAAATCTCATGTGCATTACTCATGGAGAGTTCTTAGTCCTTATTCAGAATCTCTTTACTCTTACTTTACACAAAATGCTAACATACTAGAATATTTTTTTCGAGAAAAGTGGGAGAAAATGATTCAAGGTTGGCCCAATCATTCTGTAAGCTACACTGCTTGGTATGGAGCTCTTGCATAATCGCCTCACACAAAACTGACGTTGACAATGATAGGACCAGCGTTATCTGCAAAGTAAAAAATGTAGAACATCTGCTGCTTAGTAAAGCAGGAACATGTGTCATGCATTTTAGGAAGTTTTTGACTCTGAGGGTCAAAATGAGGAAAACCTTGATGCTTCAGTTCTCAGGAAAGGCCACTTGCAAGGTCACATGGAAACTGTCCTTCTCTCAAAGTCCTACAAAGGAATGGGTTCCTGTGTGCTCAACTTGGGCATTTGTTCCGTTGGCCATTTGCTCACTCGGGTGTGTATCAGGCCTCTTCCCCACCTCCTGTGTGGTCCCAACGATAACCCAGCTAAAGTGAAGCGAGGGTGGCGTGAAGAGATGGGGCTGCTGTCTGTGAGGACAGTGACTGGAGACTAGCAGCTCATAGCAGCCCTGAAACTGAATGCTGAGGGAGCCCTCTGAAGCGACAGCCAGGACATTTAGGCCAATAAGACCCACTTGTACTCAGCAGAGAATGAACACTACCTGTCACCCTAAAGGGTATGGCACAGATTGAAAATACAAGTAGTTCTAATAAAGGTAACTTCAAAGTATAGAGGTAGTGACAGATAACGCTGGGAACAGGGGGCCATGGCGGAACCCATGTGTGTAATATTGCATGCCCTTTCCCTTCTTATAGTGCTGTGCTCAGTAGACAGAGACCTCTGAGAACTACAGTCCAGAAACCTACTGCATTCTCCTTAATTTGGCCTTTCTCAGATTCATCTGGCCGTGGAAATGGGGGAGGGGGCACCTAACACACCTCTGAACTCAGTGGGACAGCAGCACTTTGGGAAATGTGGGTTGAGATGTACCGTGTTTCCCCGAAAATAAGACAGGGTCTTATATTTATTTTGCCTCAAGAAGACACCCTAAAGCTTATTTTCAGGGGATGTGTTATTTTTTTAAAGTACGGTACAACAATCTACATTTATTCAAATATAGTTGAGTCGTCTTCTTCTGGAACATCATCATAACTCTCCAAACCCCGAATTCCATCCTGAATTTCTTGCGACTCTATTTCCTTTAGAACCATTGGCCCCAGTCTCTTATGTCAAGCACTAGAGCTCTCATGGGGCAGATGAGAAGGGCTGCTCGTCGTCTTCACTGCTCGGCGACGAAATGCATGGGTTGTGCAGATGCACTGCGTAGCCACACCCAGTACTAGGTCTTATTTTCGGGGTAGGGCTTATATTGCACAAATGCTTAGAAATCCTGCTAGGGCTTATTTTATGGGTAGGTCTTATTTTCGGGGAAATACGGTAGTCGTTGGCCATGTGTGATGGATTAGGAGGTCACCAGGGAGCTTGGAGGGGGCATTCTTGGCCCTGGAGGCTGCTACGAGGGAGGATGAGCAGCCCCTGCCCCTAAAACACAGCTCGTGGTATGCTGGCTGGAAGCTGGAGCCGAGCCAAGGGCCCGGGGCTTGGGGATGGAGCACGTGTGACCTCCCGTGGCAGCAGAGCACCCATCACCTCCCCGTGCCACCCCCTGGCAGGCGCAGCTCACACACGCACCTGTCTGTTTCAGCACACTGCTGCTGGTGCCGAGGGCGGAGGCCAGTCCTTGGTCTCACCTGGCTCCTGCCTAGAGGACTTTCGGGCCACTCCTTTCATCGAGTGCAGTGGTGCCCGAGGCACCTGCCATTACTTTGCCAACAAGTACAGTTTCTGGCTGACGACAGTGGAGGAGAGGCAGCAGTTTGGGGAGGAGCCTGTGTCTGAAACGCTGAAAGCCGGGCAGCTCCACACCCGGGTCAGCCGCTGCCAGGTGTGTATGAAAAGCCTGTAGGGGGCACCTGCCACTCTGCCCCTTGCCCTCCGCTGCCGCTCACAACAGTCACCTCACAAGCCTGAATGGTCTGAAGAAGGAAGACCAGAGCCCTGTCAAGTTGTACATTGGAGTCTCATTTGGGCTGGACCACTGGACACTGGTCACCCAAACCCTCAGGCCCAATAGATGAGCCCGCCCTGCTCAACGCCTGATGGCCCATTTCACTCGACCTGGTGCTACCATTTGATTTGGATGTTCTTGTGACTATTTGTGGCTACCTCAGAAAGATTTGCTGGGTCCCTAGTTCCTCACTGTCTTGGTCAGAAAGCTCTTCATAATGGCTAATGAGTCATTTCTTCATGGCCAGGGGTCACCACATATTATTTAGCTTAAACCAAAACCCAGTGTTTCCACATTAAAAAAAAAATCTCTTGCTGAACATTCATGGATGGCTCAAGTCTGCAAAGGGCAAGCCCTCACTATCCAAGGAGGCCCACTGTGTGTGTAGGCAGGCAACAGAACTGGAACAAGGTGCTAGCCAGTAGCCCAGAATGAGCTTCAATTCCTTCCAGAGTGAGCAAGACTGGGCTCCACATTGTTTAGGGAGGCTTGAGGGCCAGCAGGTGAGCGGGCCTCATTGACATCACACAGTCCTAGACAAATCACTTCCTCCTTGTGGGCACTGTCCCCAGCCAGAGACAGAGGACTTGGCCTGATCCAAGTAGAGCAGAGGATGCAACAAATGTGGCCAAGCCCATCAAAGGAAATGAGAACCACAGCCCTTTTTCCTGGGCTAGGGGTAGAGGGGAGGATGGGTGTGAAGTTTGCTTTTGACTCCAGGAATAAAAATGCAAATTCCATATCCTGATTTCTCTGAAGGCCCTGTTTATTCCAAATGCCATCCAGATGTGTGCAATGTGGCAAAATGAAGCTGCAGCGTGTTGGTTCCTTTGCATTCTGAGGCTGTTGGAGACTTTCTGTTAAAATGGTCATCCAACTGCTCTTTCACAGGTAGCCTGTTAAACTATTTTAATATGTTTTTAAAACCTCATAAAAATTTAGCATACTCCTCTCTTGAGCAGTTAGCAGAGCTAAAGCAAGCCTAAGTTGGCTATAAAGTGCATTGTATTCTGTTCGGGGGGATTTGTTTGAGACATTTACTTTAATTACCAGTTCCCCAGAATGCAGCTATGTTGACATGAGGCAATTCCTTCCAGGTGATTCTGTATCCTTAAGTATTATGTAAACTGTGCCAACACAGACAAAGCATAACCAGTGTAATCTCAGTTATTATCTTCACCTCCTAGCTAAGTAATAAGCACGGTGTCAGCTTTGTACATAGCAAATAAATGAAATATGAACATTTTACTCTCTTGGCATTCTTTGATGAAAACTTTTCTAATGTCCATATCACAATTTATGAGTCCCCCTCAGAGCCTTGGAGATTCTTGTTACTGAAAGTCGAGCTCTATAACAAAACACTAAGGCAGGAAAAAAGTACATGATGATCAAAGTCAAAGGGCCAAAGAGTCCCCTAATGGTCAACAAACCCCCAGCCTGCTTCAAGATAAGCCTACACTTGCTTTTATTCCCATTACATGGTAGGGTTCAAGAAAGAAGTTTTCCATACTTCTGTGGCCTTGGGATCAGGATCATTTACAGATAAAAGTAGAAAAATGTTAAAGTCATTAAAATCAAATCTAAGCACATGTGCTTGCTCTCTCTATAATGTGTGTGCATATATTTATATATGCATAAAATATATACTTTGGAAGGATAAACAAGAAATAACATTGGAAGCTTTCAGGGATAGGAATTAACCTATGGGAGGGAGAAACATTTCACTGAATACCATTTTGCATCTTTTGAATTTTAAACCACTGGAATATATTATCTACTGGAAAAAAACAAAGAAAAACATGGAATCTCAGGAAACAAGTGAATAGGTTTGGTGCTAGCTTCCAAATCCCAATTGCTGGCCTTCTTTAGGACTCAGTTAAGGATTAGAGTAGAATGAAGACAAGTAAAAAGGACAAGGAAAGGAAGATGGGAAGGTATTGTTGGGACTTGAGGCATATTCTTACAGGAGAGTGGTTAGCAAAGCTAATTTGATGAATTTGTACTTTCAAACTTATTGTGTTGCTAGTCATGAAATGTTCTGGAATTGTATTTGATGCACAGATTAAATGTGTAATTCACCACATGAATAATTCTTTCTACATATGGCTCTGTCAACCAAAACAGTATAATTCAAACACAATTTATTTTTAATTTCTCAAACAAAAATCAACAATTTAAGTGAGTGATTGGCAAGCTACAGCCTGCAGGCCAAATCCAGCCCTCCACCTGTTTTTGTAAATAAAGTTTTATTGGATTACAGCCATGCTCATTTGCGTGCATATTGTCTATGGCTGCTTTGGCGCTTCAACAGCAGAGTCGAGTAGTTGTGACAGAGGCCGCATGGCCTGCAAAGCCTAAAATATTTACTATCTGGCCCTTTACAGAAAAAATCTGCTGACCCCCTGATTCAAGCGATCATGATTTGATTTAAGGACAGGGTGACATCTGACAAAAGTATCAGTAAGAATGGGGACAGTGACTCATCAAATAGTAAGGTTCCCCCAAATAGGAAGGAGATCAAGAAGTGTATATTTTACATCATTTCTTTGACAAATGTCTTGATATAAATTATAATTATTTTAAAATACATATTCAAATAATTTAACAAGAACTTTTTCCTCCCTGATTCAGTCACTTTATTATTTGAGCAAGAGAACAGACTGCTGCTTAGTATTTAGCCTAAAAGAGGTCACACCTGAAAGGGTGCAGAAGCGCAGCATAACCATCTCTCATCTGCTGGTGCTTGAAGCAAGATGGGAGTTGCTGTCTTCCAGATTTCCAGCTCATTTCAACAGCTGAAAACTTGCCGTAGCCACCAGGAAGCAACGGACTGCTCCTAATCTTTCTGCTCCTAGGCTCCATGATTGTTTTATTTCATTCTGGTAAAGGGTTGTTGCTGTGTGTTTTGTTTTGTTTTCTGAGAAATGGTGATTGGCTCAGTCATGATTGCTATTGAGTTTGTATGCTGTTGGCATATCAGGCACTTGCTGACTAGAAAAGTTTTATGTAAGAAGTTCATGTTCTTATGGTGCCAGATGGAAGACAGACCTCCAGGTTGAGTTCCTGGTATTCTACACACTGAGAATCTCAAAATCTTCCTCCAGGTCAAAGTCCTCCAGTTGTTCAGTAGAGTCAATGAATTCTATCAGAATACAGAAGTGAGAAAGAAGACAACCTTGACACATGGGTTGAAGGGGTCAATTGATTACATTAGTCATTAAAACTACACATTTTTTAATCACTTTGATAAAGAAAGGCTTGTCTGGAGGAGACTTACAGTTAGGACCACTGCCAAGTATTAGAAATTCTCTATAATGACTCAAAATAACCAGACTTGTTAAAGAGACCTAATCACAGTGATGTGGCCAAGACTCTTCAGGCCCTTTGAGGCACCTTTGAACCACCCATGGCCTCAATTTGTTATTCTGAGCAAGATCATGCAAAAAGGAATTCTAAAAACAATTCTAGTCATCTTGATTTTGCAGAGAACTTTTGCAATGAGCTCATTTTTTTTTATCATTCTTTGAAATTGGTAAATATCCGCTCATGAGAAGATTCAGATAACCAGAAGCACCATTTTTTGATCAGTCCACCTGAGTTGAAATTTTACCTTCCACAGAAAGCATGAGCCACATTCGTTTGGTCTCATAAAACAATTGCCACACGTGGGTCTGCAGGCTGAAAGCCCCTGAACAACAGCTCACCTGCCCCAGTGGTTGTCACTTCTGGCTTGGTTGGAGGTACAAAGGGAGGCCAGTGCGATGGATGCTTCTGAACTAATTCAAACATCCTTAAATTCTCCTTTAGAATTTCCTGGGGAGACACAGAAACAGTTGTAAACATTGCAGAATCACAGCCTTTCTGTCCATTTGGCAATCTATAATCTCAAACCCTAAGAGAGTTGCCTGGTGGTTGACAGGTAAAAACAAAGGCCTTGCAAGTACAACCATCCTCTCCTTCAACCATGTGAAGACCCAGCCGTCTTCAGTTCTAGATCCTGTTTGGCCAGGAAGGAAGGATACGGGAGGGAGTATCGTATGGAGGCCAGGACTCATTGCTCACACTCCATCATGAGGCACAGGCTGGCATGGGTCTGGCTCAATTTAGGGGTGAGTTGTTCCTGAAGCACTGGCTCCAAAGAAATGTCAGTTAGTTCAAAGAAATCCATTCCAAGAAAATAATGGTATATATTGGCATGGTTTCAGTTGTAGTCCAATATTTATGGAACATAGCTTAATTTAATGGCATAGTTTTAATCAGAGAATTCTCATTCTACTTTTATATATATATATTTTTTTTTTAGGAACCAAGTTTTCTGCTATCATTCTACTTTTAAATGTGATATAAATATGGTTTTGCTGCATTCCGAAATGTGTTACCTTTAGAAAATAATTCTCTATTATGCCTCAGTTAATTATTAACTGGGGTTTCAGATTCGGTTAAGGATGTTAGTGTTAATTATTTGCTCACTTGTGAAGAAAAATCTTCCCTCCTTACATTTACAAAGGCACTGTGCCCCCGTCTCTCCCATCCTTTCCTTTCACAAGTAGAACATCATGTCTTCTGCCACCACATCTGGGGCTCTTTAACCTACAGGTGCTCCTCAACTTACGATACGGCCACATCTCAATAAACTCATTGTAAGTTGAAAATAGCGTAAGCCAAAAACAGGCATTTTGTAGACATGATGGGATGCAAAAACATAAAACACTATCTAAAAAACACTGGCAACACAGTACTACGCTGTTGAGTATCAGTTGTTTGCCCTCATGGTCGCATGGCTGACTGGGAGTTGGGGCTGTATTGTACTGTATCTTGCTAGCCCAGGAAAACGTCAAAATTCAAAGTACGACTTCTACTGAATGTGCGTCGCTTTCACATCATCGTAAAGTTGGAAAATCATAAGTTGAACCATAGTAAGTCAGGAACTGTTTGTACCCGTATGCCCTCCCCTCATCCTTTCAATAAGCATGTATCAGTGTCTTCCATATATTTGGCATATGTTAGAGGCTGAGCATGAGGGAAGCAGGCAGATACAATGTTTGGTGAGCCAGTGAACTAATTCCCTTTTACACAGATACCAAAAAGAAAGAATAACTTTACATGGATTTCTGCAAATTGTATTTCCTTTAAGAGGTGGCATGCCCATACTTTATATACATAAGATAGCTAATAGAAGGGCAGACCCTCTAAACTATGATGGAATGAATATATTAAGCTGTAAATGGACCACTAAACAAATAGGAAAGTAGCTTCTTTAATCATGTCAGTGTTATGAACAGAGTAAGGAAGAATTTAGGCTGAGCAATATAAAATTGGCATTTTTAGGTTAAAATAGTAGAAATATTAGCTGAATATGTCATATTATCAAAATTATATTTATATGTCATATCATATAAACTATTAGCTGAATATGTCATATCACTCATAGGCTGAATGAGATGAAACATTAAGTTTCATCCTTAAGAATCTTGCTTACTTGACATACTCAGCATATTGCAAACAAAGCTTTTCTTCAATTCCCCCAAAGTTATGCACAACTCCCTACACTTGATAGTTTCTTTGTTGCCTTAGCTTCTTTCTCTTGCAATAAAGTCATATCAGACTAGGTTTACATTACTTTGAAAAACAATCTTAAATTGAGTTACATTCATTTTTTAAGACTAAGAAAAACATATGACTTTACCTTCTGAACAAGGCTACACCAGTTATCAAAGTCTTTTTCTTCTTTGCAGAAAAATCCCTTGGGGGGAAGCAAAAGAACACAATTTAGAATCGCCCTTTGTGTTGCAAGATGGCGCTATACACCCAGAATTGGCATGTGGGCCATTCTCTCTGGATGTGCCTTCCCAGCACCAAACGAGAAAGATTGGCTGGTTTCTCTCTCTCCTAACTCATTGCCTCGCTTGGGCAAACACATTTGCACTCTATCACCATCACTCTCATTCTCACTCTGACTCTTGTTCTCTGTCCCTTTCCCTCCCTGTCTATCTCCCCTCATGCTGCGAGATATTATATTTCAACTTGAAGACCAGTCTTCAAATTATGGGGTCAAGGCCAGGTGCAGTGGCTCATGCCTGTAATCCTAGCACTCTGGGAGGCCAAGGCGGGAGGATCGTTTGATCTCAGGAGTTCAAGAACCAGCCTGAGCAAGAGCGAGACCCCGTCTCTACCAAAAATAGAAAGAAATTAGCTGTACAACTAAAAATATATAGAACAAATTAGCTGGGCATGGTGGCGCATAACTATAGGCCCAGCTACTCGGGAGGCTGAGGCAGGAGGATCACTTGAGCCCAGGAGTTTGAGGTTGCTGTGAGCCAGGCTGACACCATGACACTCTAGCCTGGGTAACAGAGTGAGACTCTGTCTCAAAAAAAAAAAAAAAAAAAAAAGGGGTCAATTCCACCATATTCAGTGCATAGATATGTACATCTACAAAGAATATTCAATTAAGCCAGCAAACAAAAGCCAAATAGTCCTTTTAGCCACAGGCAATATTTAATAAGGTGGCTTTGACCTTCAGGGAATTATCGGAATAAAGAGAAACATCAGACTCCTTCCCCAACCTCAAAGCCACCTGACAGTAGTGAAAGAATGGTCCACAAGAAGAGGACCCTCAGCTCTTGGTCACTGGGGCTGTTACAGTTGGATTAACTGGGAAAAGAGGATACAGACAGGCCTCAGAACCACTGGCTACTTCACAGGCAGATACCCCCTCAGTGTGTGTAGACAGAAATCACATTTCTGGGGAAAAAGCTCTACAACTTCCTGGATTATGTGCACTGAGAAATGGGTACTATCCATCCAGGGGGTCTCATTCCTTTATCACTCCCTAGCTATGTCCCACCTTACTCCCTGTGCCTATGTGGCAATAATTCGAGGACAAGAAGGAAAAGGGGGAAAGATGCTTATACTAATAATAACTAACATTTAAAGAATGCTCATTACAATGTTCCAGGCCCTGCGCTAAGTGCCTTACACACATTGTACCTCATATACCCCCACAAAGAAGGAACTATTGTTTCCCTCATTTTAGAGATGGGAAGACTGGAGCTCATAAAGATTAAATGACTTTTCCCCTAAGTCCATATCTAGTAAATGGCAGAGCTGGGACTCCAATCAGAGCAGTGTGGCTCCAGGGTCCGTGTATTCCTTCCCCTCTACACTCCACTGCCTCCCACGGGGGCAGTGAGCAAACGTATTCTTGCCAACCTCCCTAGGAACCTGGATAATTCCCAGGGAACCAATATGTAACAGGGTGGCGTTGTATTTCCTGGCCCACTCAACCTTTGGATACCCACCAATGCTACGGAAGGATCCAAGTTCAGGATGTTCATTCGCTGTGGGGACTGCAGGCAATGGAAAGTCTGGTCATCCACCATTCCATTCTCTTCAGTGTCGACAAAGGTCTGGGTTGTGTGAGGGTCCAAGAAGATGAGCTCGTCGCCTGTTTTGAAGGAGACATGCTCAGACCTTTGAAGAACCACCGGCCCTGGCCCACTGTTGTCCTTGGGAGGAGGCGCTCTGGTTCTCCTAACCCCTCCCTTGGTGACAATGAGAATGGGATGACAGAAAGCCTGAAGCCAGCATGAGCATGCTTGAAGGAAGCCACGTGCACCCAAATCTAATCATTCAACAAGAAGACGAGCCCTAGCATTCACATCTCCTCAAGTCCAAGTCCAAAAATGGGAAGTGACAGGTTTGAGAAAAGGTGGGAATGAGAGACCACAGATGGCACGGCAGGCTCTGTGAGCAGCAGTAGCAAAGAGGCGGTAGGTAGAGTCACCAGGCCATGAGCCCAGGTGCCAATGGGGAACTTTCTGCCTCTTTCAACATTGGAAAGCATCTCACTGTAGACCATTGGTTCTCAGACCTATGCTCAGAGAGCACATCTGGTAGGGGAAAAGGCCTTGGCCTCCAAAAGAAATGCTACCCAGACAGAATGGGAATGCTAACTCTGTCACAGACGAGATCCCAATGACCTGACTTCTCGTCCTCGTTAACTAGCAAGTTAGTAATTCTTAGCAAGTTAGTCAATGCTTGTCAGAAAGCACTGCCTTTGTCACATTAACATCAGCCCACATACACCTTATTGGGAAAACTCACTTTGAAATGACTGACCCTTACACATGACACAAGCCATACTTCATTAAATTGAAAAAACCTGGCCCAAAAATGGTGTGGGAGGAGTTGGAGATAATAAAATTTCTACTTTGAGCTGATATTTGAAGGGCTGAGAGTCTCTCCTCAGCCACATGCCAAGTAGATGAAAGTACCTAAGGGTGTAACCTAACCTCACTGTCCAGGCCTGAGGGCCATCTGGGTCTTTGTGTCCTCGACTGTGTCAGATTACCAAAGAGAGATCTACCTGCGGCAGGAGATTGGGGTAGAAGGGATGCCCCAGACACCCTCTCTGAAATAGCATCCAGGATTGTGTTGGGCACATCTATATGTTTCTGTTGGCAACAGCTGTGTTGCTGATGTCTCACAAAAGTTGAACTTTTCTCTATCATAAACCAAGGACAAACCACTTAATTCACTCTCTGTCTTAATTTTCTTAATTTTAACTGGGGTCATTGGGCCTGTTCTAGTTACTTCACAGGGTATTATGAGAACCAGAAGATTTGACCTCTGTGGAATGCTTAAAACAGGTGTCCTCAAACTATGGCCCGCAGGCCACATGCGGGTGTTTTGCCCTTTTGTTTTTTTACTTCAAATTAAGATATGTGCAGTGTGCATAGGAATTTGTTCATAGTTTTTTTAAAACTATTGTCCGGCCCTCCAATGGTCTGAGGGACAGTGAACTGGCCCCCTGTTTAAAAAGTTTGAGGAAAACACAATATAAATACAAAGTGGTTAGAGAATTATCTGATTGCAAATCGAAAGTGTTTACCTACAAATGTCTGTGTAAGAGCATATAGAAATCAATGCCCGCATATGACTTGCTTTATGAAAGTCAAGGCAGATATTCCCCTAGATCACAGGTTGGTGAGATTAGTGATGTCAAAAAAGCCTCAGGTCACTCTATAGAATAACAATCAAGATGTTTCAAAGGAAGCCCACCTAAGGCCATAGAGAGGGAACAGGAAAAGGGAGTTGTGGATCAGAAAACAGAAAGCCAAAGTAGGGTTAGAACCAAGCTATCTGCCAGAGCGTGAATTAAGGTGCTAGGAATAATAACGTTTTCTCTGACTCTGGCCAGGACCTTTTCCCATGGGGGCTGTGTGTGTGTGTGTGTGTGTGTGTGTGTGTGTGTGTGTGTGTGTGTGCGTGCGTGCACACGCAAGCGCAGTGGAGCTTTGCGGGCTGCTCTGCTTCTGAGAGTACTTATAAGAGATATAGTGGAAAGTGTAAAAAAATCCTAGAAATGATGTGGAGACTAAACAAAGGTCTCTAATGAAGCCTGGGGAAAAGAGGCAGGGAACCAATATTTCCTTCTTTCTAAGCAGGCAAAATCTGATGTCCAGAGTCTCACCCTGGCCATATCCTCCCACACCCAGAGCTTCTCCCTGCTTCCCACTGGGCAGGAGGGCCCAAATTACTATGGAATCCTGGCTGCACTACTGTTTATCTGAGTGACTTTGAGCAAATACTCTCTCTTAATCTTAGTTTTGCTACATGTGAAATGGAAATAACAGTCTCTACCTCGCAGGGGTGTTGTGCTAATATACATATATATGTATACAGAGAGAGAGAGAAAAAAAAACATTGAGTCCCTGGCACAGGACAGCTGTTTAGAAAATGGCAATTCTCATCCCTTCCTCCTTTCACACATTCTGCCAATCTGGACCACCCAGCCTCATACATTAAGGGGGTGAGTCACAAAAGGGGAGTTGGAGGGACTTGGGGGCCTCAAGTGAAGTTTGCACAAAGGATCTATAAAAGTTAACAGGCAAATGGGTACTATATGAACCTCTGTCTTGGGCTATTAAAGAATGGAGGATTGTCCATACCTCTTTAATGAGTAGTCAAACTTTGCAGAAGTTACCCTGACCCAGTGGCCTCAGGAAACAAGAGGGCTATGCCACCGTGGTGAATTCCCTCTAGGTAACTTGGAATAGACAGCCCATGGCACCCAGGAATCATATACACTATTAACTGAGATATCTCCGAAATTATTTTCCAATCTGTTTGGTGAATGTTTGTGTCCCCCCAGAATTCATAGCTGAAATCCTAACCCCAATGTGATGCTATTAGGAGGTGGGGCCTTTGGGAGGTGATTAAGTCATGAGGGTGGAGACCTCATGCATGGGATTAGTGCCCTTATAAAAGAGACCTCAAAAAGTTCCCTGACCCCTTATGCCATGTAAGAACACAGCAATAAACAGCCATCTATGAAGAAGGAAGCAGGCTCTTACCAGACACCAAATCTACAGTGCCTTGATCTTGGACTTCCAGCCTCCAGAATGGTGAGAAATCAATTTCTGTTGTTTATCATAAGCCACGCAGTCTATACTATTCTATTATAGCAGCCCTCGTGGACCAAGTCAAAAACAAACCATAGGAAATCTATTTTTTGCAACATTCTCTTTGAACTCCAAAACTTAGAGGGCATCAAAATATACATAACTCCACATATTGGGTTTTTCACTTAGAAAAATAAAAGCTGCTACAGATGCCACGTTTTCCATTAAGCTGTAGTTCTTACACTCGACCAATAGATGGCAGCATTAGAGAGCGCAGAGGCAGCTGTGCAGCCCCGCCCCAGCCTCAAAAGAGGAAGAAAGAGGTGCTGGGGTCAGGCGAGGTGGAGCCGCCTTTCACTGAGTGTGTACTATATGCCTGGCTGATTGCTGAACGCCTTGCTGTGAGATGACAACATGGTGAGTCAGGCGCTAGCCCTATTTGACATAACAGGAACCTGAGACTGAAAGTTGATATCCTTTTCCTGCAGTCACACAGCTAGCAAGTGGAGGACTGGCATGCAGTCAGGTGTGTCTGCTTCCATCCTGCCTCACCTCCCTGAATGTCCCAGGAGGAGATGGGGTGGGGAGGGTGAATAAGGCCATCTCCACCCTGTCCTCTGCACACCCCCTCCTGCCATTCCCTCATAACCGCTCTAGCTCTCCCTTGCCTGCTGGCCAATCTAAGCTCATGCCTTGCTTGAGGCCCAGTCTCAGACCACTCCACTCCTGCAAGAGGTGTCCTGTACCAAATTTCCCTGGATGCATCACTCGCGAACTCACGCTCTTCAGCACTAACCAGGTGTCTAGGCCCTTAGTCCTCAGAGCATGGTCTGTGGAGCAGCAGGGCGGCGCCACCTAATTAGAGATGCAGAATCCCTGGCCCTAACCCAGACCGGCTGAATCTGCATTCAGACAGGCTCACAAGGTCATTCCTGTGCACGCTGGAGTTTGAGAAGTGTTGGGTTACCTTGCCTTGAGTGCCAAGGGCCTTAAATGTCTGTGGTCTCAGCTAGTGAGAAAGGTGGCTGGGTTTCCCGGGGTGCCCATCTATTTAGGGACTGTCGGGCTGCTCAGTAGGGTCCACGTTAGGAGGTTAGTGGTTTTAAGGCTTAGCCCCCATTATCAGGAAAGGGACACTTCTGTGTTTGTCCCCTCTGAACTGAACAATGAGCCAGCAGGCCCAGCTGCAGGGGCCTGGGAAGCCAGAGGACGGCTCCCAGCCTGACCACCTGAACCCCAATAAGGGGGCGGATTGGCAAAACCAAAGGAATGAAACCCCGCTGCTCTGGGCCCCACAGGCAGGAGAGAAAGATGTGCTGGAGCAATGCTGCGACCCTGGGGCTGTCCAGTGGGGAAGCAGTTGGAACCATCTTATCGAGAGGCACTGAAAAGGGACCTGCTTTCCGTCAGGCACGTGGAAGTGTTATTCTCTGTAGATCAGGCCAGACAGAAGGAGCTGAGCAGAGGCTGCAGCATCCCTGGGCTAGACAGGGGCCCGCTAACCGGAATTGCCTGGTCTCCCGTGCAGACCTTCTCCCGACCCCCTCCCCTAGCCCGTGATGACTTACTTGTGATTCCTCCTTTCTTACCTAAGAATCCTATGAAATAATAGGCGTTATTTGGTTTTCCTCCTAATGCCCCTAAAGACTGTGGCATCTTAAAACACTCCTGGAGGGAAAGAGAGTGCAAGATTCTCAACTCACTTGTAGACTGCTGCTCACGGATCTCTGTGCTGACATGGCGGTGTGATGGGCAGGCCGCAATGGGCTCGGGGAAAGGAGCGACTTACTTTGAAGGCGTCAACATAGACAGGATTGATTTGGTTTATGCCCAGGCGAAGGGGGACAATGAGAAGCAGGGGTTTCCAGGCTGGGCAGTAGGCAGAGGTGCCCTTACTCTGGTTTGAAGCAGTCAGAGAATCGGGGCTTTCACCAGCTGTGTCTGCACTCAAGGGAAGGACACAGCACATTTTTTCTAGAAACAGAAGAAAGCTGGGTAAGTAAGAGGTGTCCAGCCTTAGGAGATAACTTCAAAAACAAAACTAAGGGGGATCTCACGTTCTCCTGCCCTGCCTAAAAGGTCCTTCCCTCTGCCACCAGGGCCTAGCTGGCCCTCCCCCCTACAGGAAATACAGGCCATTCCTCCAGCCCTCGTGTCCTTTCTGGCCACTGAGCACTTGATTCACTCCCAACAGAGGTTCTACTTCACTGAAAGAGCTTCATTCCTCAACTGGTCTGCAAGGGCCTTTGAGACAGGGACTATATCTTTAGGTTGCACTAACTCCCCAGGGGAGAGAGCTCAGGCCCGGACAGGCTGGGCCTCCATGAAAGATCTGTTGGCACTTTAACAGATTATACACACTTTGGGCTTCCTGCAGGGAATGCGTGTAGTGCTTCACTGAAGGGCAGCAAAGACCTTCTAGTGGTTTTCTCCCTTTCAGAAAGCTGAGAGGGAAGAGAATTGAAGCCCAGAGCTCCCCTGGGATCCCCTGCCCTGGTGGGGAAGGCCAGAGAGACTCTCTCGAGCCCCAGATTTCCAAATGGTGAGGAAGAAACTTGTCACCCATCAATCAGGAAGGCAAATGGGCTAGGGACTCACTGATATCTTCAATGACCACTGTGTTATCCATTGAAACATAAACAGCCAAGGAATTCCATTCGTCAAATAAAGCAAGTTTTCTGCAAAGCAACATAGAATGAAGTCACAATGGGAGAAGACGGAAGTATCAGCAGGAAGCAGTACAGTTTACACCTGGTGTTCCTAAAGTCACCAGACACTGAGCCACAGAGAAGCTGGTGTTCAGGTCAGCTCTGTCTCCTTTGCCAGAGCTCTGAGATATTCCATGTCTAGGGACCCTGAGCGTGCCACAGAGTCACCGTATCGGAACTTCAAATAGAAGGCTCTGCTTTACAATCTGGAAAAGTCTACCTCACAAAAGTGACAGTACTCCTGGGCAAAAAAAGAAAAGTTACCTATGTATCTGCTTCCAAAATCCCAAGAGATTTGTTTTCATACATAAAAGACATTCTGACTTACTGCTTTTTGTTTGTTTGGATAAAGGAAACTGTCACTAAATATATATATATTTGTTTGGGATCATAGGTAATATAGAGAATGAGTCCCAAGAAAACACAAAGAAAGGGAGAGAGAGAGGGAGAGAGAATCTCTTCTACTCCTTCCCAGCTGCACTGAAAATGTCCCTCAAGTAGACTTAGGCCTCACATTGACTTGGGTGCCAAGCCTTTCTGATTGGCAGCTGAAGAGGGCCAGTAGGCTGAATTGTAGAACTTCAGGGGAGATTAGAAAGAAAACCCCCTTAGGCTGGGCGCGGTGACTCACGCTTGTAATCCTAGCACTCTAGGAGGCTGAGGCGGGCGGATTGCTCAAGGTCAGGAGTTCAAAACCAGCCTGAGCGAGACCCCGTCTCTACTATAAAAATAGAAAGAAATTAATTGGCCAACTAATATATATATATATATAAGTTAGCCGGGCATGGTGGCTCGTGCCTGTAGTCCCAGCTACTTGGGAGGCTGAGGCAGGAGGATTGCTTGAGCCCAGGAGTTTGAGGTTGCTGTGAGCTAGGTTGACGCCACGGCACTCACTCTAGCCTAGGCAAGAAAGCGAGAAAAAAAAAAAAAAAAAGAAAACCCCCTTAAAAGAGAGATTATCTGAGGTCTAAGTAACATAATTATTTCTTCCTTCCTTCTTCTCCCCTTACCAGTTGGAGAGAAGACCTGTTTAGCCTGGCTACTTCTGGGCTATGTGGGCAAAGCCCAGTCCCACTGGACAAAAGAAAAAACATTCTCTCTACCAAAGTAGTTCCCAGGAAGAGGTTAACTACTATTGCACTTTTATATTATTCACTTTAATATATTATCTTTCCCCAGAATAATAATAATGAACTGTTGTTAGTGATAACAATGATGATGAATCAGAACCTACTCGAATTCTCTTTAAAAATGTATGTTTCCACTTTGTTGCTGGGAACCTCAAAATTGAGAAGAAAGAAGCACATTCTGAGGGATGTCATTTAAAAACCAACCATTTCAAGCCGGGTTTTAGGCTCAGCACAGCCATTCTGATCCTTCACACTTTCTAGCCTGGGTTCCTACAGCAGTTCCCCAAATACTCCCAGATAGATCCTCACTCGGCAGAGTCAAGGATGCGTGAGGCACTCTAAGGTGAGAAAGTGGTCTCAGGGAGGCTGCACTGTTAGCAAGGAGTAAAGCCAAGGTAGAGGTTTTCCTTGGGTCCCCAGTAAATTCAGACTGCTCTCCTCACATGCACATCCAGAAATTATTGTAGTCCATGGAAGACTGGCTAACAATTGAAACAGGGCCCCACGGGTGCTTTGCATGGAGCAAGTCCCACCAGAATGCCCAAGAACTGAAGTACTCTACACCAAAGGAGGACACATGGTTCAATCTTCTGATCCCTAAATCTGTCACCAGATTCTGACTGTCATTTTCATTTAGTCATCGAGCATTTATTGAGCACTGAGTACTTCTGCATGCCAGGCAGTTTTCTGTGCTGGTGTTACAAAGTGAACAAGACAGATACAATCTCTGTGCTCATGGAGTTTTCATTTGGTGATAGGTTGTCAGGAAGGAGAGTGACACCAGGAGAGGCAGCCTGCAGGGGTAACTACTAATGCCACTCACCCTATTCACTTCTAAAAGTTTGTCCTGGCCTCTCTACTTCACCTCTTGCAGTGGGAGGCGAATTCTGGAATTTAACAGGGCAACTGCAAAAGTGCCATATTGGGGTATCCTGTGTCTGCTAAGAGATGACAAACTGATTCCAAGACTCCCTTGGGGTTTGTCTCCTCCAATAGGTGGTGAGTTCCTTAAAGCAAGGCTGTGTCTGGTTTATTTCTGTAGACCACACACTTAGCACGGTAAAGTCATTCAGTAAATGCTGAATGAATTCACAGGGATTTTTTTAGTACTATGAAGTCCTTTGGGAATCCAGTGGGAGTCCAGTTCTGACTTAGGCTGCCTCAGCCTCCACCACTTACTATGAACCTTTTGGCTTCAAAGGAACCCTCTGGCTAATGACTCCCTGGCATGTATGAGATACTAAACGAGTTCTGGGGTACAACCACATATACTGATATCAATGAATACAACTCTGATATACCAAGGTACATGTGGGAGGGCTAGCTTAGTGAGATTGCGAGAATACCTAGGTTGATTGGAAGTTTAGTTGGCTGAGGAGAGAAGCATAGAAGATAGTAGAATGAGGCAGATGCCAGACTCTTTTACTTACTTTAACACCTGTGCAACTGTATTTGGTCCAAACCATTCGCCAATTGATTTCCCTTCTCCTACACCCATTTGTGCTGTTTTTATGTGGAAAAAATTAACACGTTAGCAAAAGATCTTCCAACAAACCACAAACTCCTAATTTTTTGCATAAATAATTATGCAGATGGACAATTTAGTGGAGCCACAGGTAAGGTGGGGGACAAGAAGGATCAGGAATAGGCATTGCCTTTAAACTATTGATTTGTGGCCTTACCCATTTGATGGATAGAGTAGCAACAATCTTTTCTATCTAAGAAGCATTGTAGGATCCGCTGGTATTCTTTGGGTTGTTCTTTTTGTTTCTCCCAGTTCCAGTCTTTGTAGGGGAAAAATGGGTTAAAATCATTTTTGTAACAGTTTATTACCTCTCTGCACTTTTATTGTAACTGCCAAGTTAGAAGGAAAACAAAGAAGCTACATCTAGAAGGCGGGAATGACCAAGTCAGAACATTCCTAAGTATCTTTCATTCTGATGACAAAGACATCTGGAAACTGATTACTTTCAAAGACGCAGTGGGTATAAAATAAAAGCAAAACAAGAAGCTCTAAGGGCTGGAGCTAGATAACTGCTGCTATGTAAAAAGAATGTCACCAAGGCCTTTCTGGCCTGCAATCGGTAAACAGAAGGTCACCACAAAGCCTGATAGTATATCCGTATATAACCCAGACGTCACAATGTCTCATCTCCACACGGATAGCAATGGCTTTTGTCCTTGTATTTTGGCAATGTTGCCAAAAGGGCCTGTGAGGGGAAGTACTGCCTTGACATACAACAGTTCACAGGGGAATATACATAATTCACAACTAAGGAAGCTTAAAAAAATTTGCACACTGCTGTTTCTTACACCACCTTTTTAAAAGTCCACACTTGAACTTGGGTAAAAAAATACCTTTGCTATCAAGGTGTTCAAGGTTTCCTCAAGACCAAAACCAAAATAACTGCATTTGTAGGGATCTTATCTGTGCCTTAGGCACAGCCCCCTCAAATACTACAACTTATTTAGGACAACTGCAAAAACTCTATATAATCACTGCTGTGGATGGCATGCACCACTCCAATCCTCTGACCTCGAAGAACTCTGTCTAATGGGACAGATTTCTGAGGTTTATTAATAATTTGTTGCCAAGACTCTCTCTCCTGAGGTTTTCGAAAGAGTTTGAATTAAAGACTGAAATGTACTTGAAGCCAAAGGCCATTATCTCCAGAATCTTCAGTTTTATCTAGCTTCTAGTATTTCTGAAACCAAAGTTTTAAACTTCAGATCCAGTATGGCCTTCACAGGCCATGCCCAACTTTTTTCATTAGCTACCAAATTGTCCAGTTCTGGGGAAATCCTGATTAGCTGGCTGCTAAGTCCCACAAAATATTTACTGATGACAGTGCTAAGTGAACACCCCACTTCATTTTTAAAATAGCTGAATAGGAAACAATCCAAAAAACTTCTTTACAAAATTGCATCTTCTAATTCATCTTAGCTATAAGATCTCTTTCCAAATTCTTCCTGCTACTTGCTTTCATATTAAAACAACTGAGACTGCTGACTGATGAGGGTTTTTTCCAGTTCACTCCCCACTTCCAGAACTCACTTTCAGAATAATCATCTTACAGTATTTTATAAATGAGAAAAAGTTAAATAGTAAGAATGGTCCTGCACCAAGAAGCATATGTGTTGTAGAGAACTCACTGGACACAGAGTCAGAAGATCTGTATTCTATTCCCAAATCTTTGCTTTCTTGCTGTTGGACCCTGGGCAAATCATGCCACTTCCCTGAGCCTCAGTTTCCTCATCTGTAAAGCAGAAATTATGATACTACCAGGGGAAGCAGGCACAAGATATCCTAAACCCTGAAGAGAAGGCAATAAGCCCTAAAACCTCCTCAGACTCTTCCTTAATCCTCTCTGGAAGCTGCAGCAGGATCTGCGAGTTTGCACGGTGGGGAAAGGACAGTGATGCTTCTATACCTCTGAATCTCAGTTAGTAACAGCCCATGGGTTGAGCAGCCCAATCTCATCCAAAGAGTCCTTTCACTCTCTCATCTCCAAGTCCAACTGCACTTTCACCTAAGTGCCTGAACTGGCATCCAGACAAGGTCATCCTTCAGATGCCCACAGGGCAGCACATGCATGTCTCAAGAAAGCAAGACTCAAGACTTCCAGCAACCATTACCAGAAAGTCCTTAATTAATGAAGGGGCCTCCCGAGGAAGCTAATTTAAGGATTCCTTCACCATCAACTGGACATCCTAAGTGAGCCAAAACCAAAATAGTGCCAGCTTCCTCATTAGGTACTTCCTTTGGGTCACTTACATCCTTCGCTAGGCAGATATTTATTTTAAATGAGGTCAAGAAACAGACTTACCACCACACCCTTCTTCCTGCTGCCTTCGTTATCTGGTATTTTTTAAGGGCTCACTCAAACAATAGCAAAGACGAAAACTCCAAATGACACACCTGCCTCAATGTTCAGTTCTGTCCCAGGAAAATAACTTTCTGACTTGGTGAGTCACAAGGAAATACTGGCTGTTTCCTTCCTATGAGGAGCTTTGTCAACTTAGCCCTATCACTTGAGCTTGCAGAGAGCATTTTAGGACCTGCAGCATTGTCACTGAGCGTTCCTAAAGCTCAGCATCAATGCCAAACCAACAGCAGCAAGTGATACTGCAGAGATCTCTGAAGCAATTTACAGAGCAAATGTAACTCACCCCTTCCCAAGTGTCTACAGATAAGGGCTTGAGCCAGCATCATCTGTCCACAGCGTAGCATACATCCCCAGCCAGCATCCGATGAAGGGCCTGTTCCCCCTGTTGGCAAAGTGGATGGGAATGAATATAGGTTCCCTGAATCGCCTCTTCCTGAAACATCACCATATTTGGGACTCATACAAGATGGGCAAACATGCATCCTCTGAAAACGCAGGCAAGAGATATAGCCAAAGATCAAACAGAATTTAGGTATAGGATTGGAACTTGCAAAGTTAGTTCTGAGTCAACCAAAATAGGTTCTACACCTAAAAACAAAACAAGAGAATTAAACCTGCCCCTTAGGTTTTCTGCTTGCAGACTTCTAGGTATGCATGCAATTTGGTAGATGACTGCCATGTATGAATACCAATACTTAGTCCATTCCATGTCATCATCTGCTGGACCAAACCTTTCCTTGCACAGCTCACTTGCATGGCCCTAAACTTCTCAGGAAAGCCAATCTTACCTTAGTTAAAGAACAAATACTACCAAAGGTAGTCGCCATCTAGAAAAAAGGACTCATACCTGTAATCCTAGCACTAAGGACAAGTGCTAGGGCAAGGCGGGAGGATCACTTGAGCTCAGGAGTTTGAGACAAGCCTGAGCAAGAGCGAGACCTTGTCTCTACTAAAATAGAAAAATTAGCCAAGCACAGTGGCTCACACCTGTAGTCCCAGCTACTCAAGAGGCTGAGGCAGGAGGATTGCTTGAGCCCAGGAGTTGCAGTGAGCTATGATGACATCACTGAACTCTTAACTGGGGTGACAGAGCAAGACCTGGTCTCAAAAAAACAAAACAAAACAAAAACAAAAACAAACCAAAAAGTATCCTGGCATAACATGTAAACATCATGGAACCATATATGATGGGATACTTCAGCAGTGAAACTTTTGGATGAAGTAGAAGACTTACCTATTCCCCTAAATCAAATTCTTTGCCATAGTGAGCTGTTAATTTTGAGGTTTCTGTGAAGTCACTGAAAACCTCAGGCAAGCTATCTACAAGGAAGAAAGCACAGTACAACAAATGATATACCTACCAATCGGTGAAAATTTCCTTCTGTATGTAAACCATAGACGAGCACTTATATCAGACAACAGCTTAGACTTTTCTGTAATTAAATGTAAAATTAAAATTAAATCACCATATCTCATCTAAAAATACCTGCCTTCAACTTCCTGAGCCAGCAGCAAACATAATTTCAAATAACCAGTCAATTCCATTATTATGGGGCTAGGGAAATTCATACGGAACCCAATCTCACTTTAGCCAAATAATTTCGATATTTTCCCCCACCACCACCACCACCTATGTTTTGACCAGAGCTATTTGACTGGTCCAATGACGTTAGGTGGTTTCTGTCCCCTTCTTACTGAGCTTCATGGCCCTGACAGGAACTAATGCTGGGGTCATGGCCAAAAGACAAGGAATAGAAAAATTAAAGATCTTAGATAACCCACTAACAGGGAGATGAGCCTTGCTTTGAATGATGGTGGTTGGTTGGATCTCATGTCAGTACCCATTGTTTATTTTTTAAAACCAAGGGTGGGTTTGTTTGTTTGTGTGTATATGTGTGTGTGTGTGTGTGTGTGTGTGTGTATGTGTGTTTGACTAAAAAGAAAACGTCCCTGCTAAGCAAATTAACTATGTAAGAAATTTATTCATAGTACCTAGTACAACTGGCATTTATTATCTAAATGGATATATAACATCACAAATGTTTTTATGACTTTTTCCAAAGCATGCTTTCTTGGACTTTATGACATAAATTTACTTTGATGGCTATGAATATAGCTTCCACATTTCCATCTGTACTTAGATGTGGTTCTGTCTTTCTTAGTCATCTCTTTCCCCCTTTTCAACAATACATTCATATTTATATTCTGTATAGAACTTATAGTCATTTCATTTAAAATAAAAAAGGGAAATGTAATTTTAGCCAATGGTTTTGATTTTCTCTCTTCCATTTTCTTTGAGGAAATCAGATAGTTGAGCTGCTGGATTTTCCCTATCCTCCATGCCCCCAGTGCCTAGCATACTTTGGGAAGCAGATGTTTAAGAATAAGACTTCTGGAATCATATTCTGCCTGGGCTGGAACCCTGACTCGGCTACTTACCAACTGTGTGACATTGTTATTTAAACTCTCTGAGCTTCAGTTTCCTCATATGTAAAATGGGAAGAATAATAGTACCTATTTCATTGAGTTGTGACTATCCAACAAGAATAACGCACACAAGGTGTTTAGATGGTGCCTAGTACATAGTAAGCCTGTGAGAAATCCTAGCTGTTATTATATACCTGTCCTCTCAAAAGTTCATGCCTCTCGCTCCTGCTTCTGACAGTTCTTTACCTTCCTGTGTGGCCTTATGCTGGGGAAGTTGTGTGGACATGTTAACAAGAATTTCACTTTGAAAGGCAATTCCCAATTGAACATTTGCATATGGGTGGATTTGGCAACCGGGGATTCCTGTTTTCATGGAATGTAGAACTAGAAGAGATCCTCTCCAATAGCCTCATTTGAAGTAAGAGTGAAGGAAGTTAAGACCCAGAAGGAGAAAGTGACTTACCTGAGTTAGGAGAAGAATCTGAATACAAAAGGCCTCCTAATTGCTGGCTCCTAGGCTCTCTCCACTAGTCACAATTCTCCAATCAAAATAATGAAACCAAACTCAGAGAAGCCGGACAATGACTAACTTCCTCTCTTGCCTTTTGAGCAGCTTCTTCCTGTTCCTGACTCTATGCTAAGGGTCTCTCAAGAGGATCTCTCCTCAGAAAGATCCAAGTCTCAGAGCTGCCTCTTTCTGGGTGCTGGGTCATTAGCAGTTTCAGGTTAAAAATCTTTCTCAATCTAAAAGAATGTAATGGTAAGGAAGAAAAAAAAAATCAAGCCTCCTTTCCATCTAGCTGCAGTGGCTAAAGTTCTATACAAAATCAAAATAAATTGAGATAGTGTTATAGTCAGCAAAAAAAAATCTAAAACATAGGGAAAACTTCTCAGGTCTGGCATTGTTTCTGACAGCCATGGGTTGTGTAGAAGTCCCTAGGTGTTTTTATCTAGCCACACAAGAATGTGAAAGGAGTAAGAAATATGTAGCCTCATCACCAAAGGCTAGAGACTGGTTATTGATACCAGGAGTACGTCCATGTTTTTTGAAACCCAAGGCTTCTGGAATTTGAGGGTTCTCCTTTTAGGAAAAGAATAAAAATATAATACTTTTGCAAATTGTACAAAAACTTGTAACCACATAAACACACTGCTAGGCCTTCTCGGGTCTTGGAAAGGGGCCCATACAAGCAAGAGACCTGAGGTTTAAGCTCCATTGGCGTAAGGTAAATCTGCCTCGGGGTTGTGTTAACATTTATCAAGGCAATGTTCTGCCAACCCAAGGAGAAAAAAGTACAGGTCTTTAACCTCAGGCACCCACCTCAGGCACCCCTCTCACAGACAAATGCAACCAAACCTTACCCGTTTTAAGGAGATGCTGCTTCCCCAAGATCCATACCAGCTCATCTGTATCTGAATATTCTTCTAGGTAGTCAGTGAAAATAGTAATCTGGTTTTCATACTTGGATAAAACTGAAAGATAAAGGAAAGAAACTTAAGCAAAATTTAATAGAAGGGGCTTGCTCCTGTGGTTGACTGATTCTTACATTTGCCTGGAAGGTGAAAGGTCATCAGCATGAATGTCATGGGAGCAAATCTTTTTCCTTAATGAGCAAAGACAGTCACAAAACCTAAAAATCTTTTAGTAGAGGAATTTCCTCTTGACTGTCTCTTTTGACCTTCCCTTTCTCAAAGGCCTACTTAACACCATCTCTGAAAAGTCATTTGGCCACAGTTACTTCAAAACTCCCCCCATCATGGGACCTTCTTTGTAAATAGCCAACTATCTAGCTTCTCCTAGCAGGAGTGTATCAAGGTGATATGATAATACCTGCGTACCTAACTCCTGCCTACATCACAGGGAATATTGTGTGGTTTGTATTGTGAGGTTTCTAGTGGCCAGTGCCTTAGAAGGGGTTGTGACAAGCCTGAAAGATTGTACAACTGTGAAAATGGTAATATTTTAGCTGGAAGACCAGATGTTTTTATAGTATTTTTATTTGCCATTTTATTCACATGTGGCTTCTGCAAAGAAGGCTCTTGAGGCTGAGATAAATAAAACTTGTTCTTGGGATTCACAAATGACTATTGCAATATAATAAGAAATATATATTTGGTCTCTATCCCCACTTTCTGGCACAGAGCTCCTAAAACCCTTGTTATTTCCTGAGCAATAGTGATGCTAGGTGCATCTTTTGTTCTGACATTTGCTCTTTGACCCTGGTTCCTGACAAAGAGTTCCTAATCCCTTGGAATTTCCTGGGTGTTAGGAGCATCTTTTGTCTTAATGAGACATCTCTTAGTGGGCTCCTGCATGGGGCTGGTCACCAGAAAGATCAAGCCATGATTAGAAGCTTGGAACTTTCAGCTCCACCTCTCCCCCTTCCTCTAGAATAGGGAGAAGGGCTGGAGATTGAGTCAAAAATCGATCATACCTACATGAAGGTTCATAAAAATCCCTGAACTGTAGGCTTTACAGAGCTTCCAGGTTGTTGGACATGTGGAGGTGCCCAAAGGATGGCGTGCCTGGAGAGGGCGTGGAATCTCTGCACCCCATCCCACATGCCTTGCCCTATGCATCTTTCATCTGGCTGTTCATCTGCATGCTTTGTAATATCCTTTATAATAAATGGGTAAATATAAGTCAAGCATTTGAGTTCTGCGAGCCATCCTAGCAAATTATGGAAACCAATGTATAGCTGGTTGGTCTGAAGCACAAGTCACAACCTGGGACTTCTGACTGACATCTCAAGTGGGGGAAGTCTTGTGGGACTGAGCCCTTAACCTGTGGGATCTGACTCTAACTCCAGAAAGACCCTGCCAGAATTAAATTAAATTATAGGACACACTGTTGGTGTCTGCTGAAGAATTGCTTGGTATATGGGGAACCCCCTCCCCAATATCTGGTATCAGAAGTGTTGAGCATCAAGTGTGAGAGTAGAAAAACAATTTTTTCTTCCTATGTCATACAACTATGGTTATCTCTCAAGATAAAGTAACCAAAAAAAAAAATATATATATATATATATAGAGAGAGAGAGAGAGAGAGAATTAAACTTGATTAGTTCACAAGCCATACTTTCAGATCTCATGATCATGTATTATAATATAGGAAAAGTTAAAATTTAAATTGACACTTGGACCACCTGAAAACATCTGCTAAAAGACTCAAGACTGACTTATGAAGGGATCCTATCTCCAACATTTTTTGTAAATACTTTTTAGGGATAAATAATATTGTGGGTAGTAAATAAATTTCCAAGGCAGCCCACAAAAGCCTATTTTAATCTCTATCAAAAAAATTAAATTGATAGTATATTTCACAGCTTATGGTGTTATTTCTATGAGAAAATGTATCTCCAGTTCAAAGCTAAGACATTGAACACACACCTTCTCTCAGCTCTTGGAAGCTCCTCAGCCCCTATGGAGAGGAGAGTGCAGAGAGAGTAGGGGCCCTTTTTGTGCATAGCTACAAGTAGCTGCAGAGATTCTCTCAAAGTAGTTTCTAGAAGCCCTATGGGTAGAGTTTCCTGTGCAAATGGCATTGTGGGATATGTCTAATTCACTCAAAAGGATAAATTGTTTTGCTTTTGTTTTCTAAGGCAGGAGCACTTTGTTTTCATAGAAATCAATGCTCCTAAATATAAATGAGTCTTTTCTGATCATAAAACCTGCTCAAAATACTTTGTGGGAAATTGAAGTTATAATTTGTACAAGCACTTCTAGAAACACAGCTAACCTGGGATAGTGCCTTTCTTGAAACATATTATAGAATTCCAGTCATTCAGGGATTTAAATAGCCTTTCTCCTCAATATGTTTTAATTATTAAAATTATAGTTCCTGCAGTGTTTCAAACCTAAAGAAGTCAGAAACGAAACAGCCATTTCATTCCCCAGTGAAAATCCATCACTAACAAATCTGCCAGGGAGCCTGTGCGGTCTTAACCTCTCTGCTGCTGGCTTCAGCCCCTGGCCTATGCCCAGGAAATACCAGTCTAAAAATGATCACCCAGGTCAGGCCATCCCCAGGAGGTGGTGGATCGAGGCGGGGTAAATCACACTGTGTACCTCCCCACCCTACCCTCTACCCCGCACAGGCAGGATAAATCAGTTTAAGATGAACATCCACTGTAGCCTAGAAAGAGAAAGAGAATCAGAATATAAGTAGCTTGAGAGGAGTGTGGGAAAAGGGCAACCTGTCTGGCGTTGCCCTGGTAGGGGTGAGGAAGGGTGGTATTGGATGAATGTACAGCATGTATGCATATAAGCCTTGGGTCTTTTTTTAGTACTGGCCAAAAAAAACCATTTCCCTATCGCCAACCCTGTCTCAGTGAGTCACTGCCCAGCTATCTGGTCAAATTAGTACAGCCTGTTAAAGCCTGTGACAACTGCCCTGCTTCGTTTGGGATGGCTCTGACCAAAATGGTAGCCAAAGAATTTGTCTCTTGCTCTTTACCCCCTCTCAGGCCTAACTAGGCCAGCAAGAAGGTCATTACAGTCTCTGTTCTTCTTGGTTCTCCTCTTAGAAGACAGATGCAAGGTATCAAGCCATAGCCAGCCCTGAGTCAAAGCTACATGTATGGAACAAATGAAAGACAGAAAAGAAGATAGAATTCACAGAAGCAAAGAGCAGTGACATGGGGAGATTATGTACAAGGGGCTCTGGGGAGGAGCAGGTCCCACACAGGGAGAACTCAGACTGCTAAAGAAGCAATCTAGGAAGTGGTCAAGGTGCAGAAGTGAAATCTCATTTCCAAGACAATTACTTCTGACTGGTAGTGATCCTTTAAAAATAATAATAATAATTCACAAACTACTTTTATCTTGCCTGAAAAAATTTAAAAAAACAGACATTAGCTTGATATAAGTTCCCTGTCCTTTCAGCCTGTTTCAGAGACAGGGGCTGTACAGGCAAAGCTACAAATATGCAATTTGCTGGACGAAGAATTAGCTTCTACAAGGCCTCAGGGACAACAACTTTCACCTTGTTCCATTTTACTTTAATAATTATGATACTGAAGTCTCTGCTGGGTTAACTTAGTGACAAGCTAATAATTGGGCAAAGATTTTAAACAGGAATCAAAAAATCCCAACTCTTGGCCAAGGGGCTCTGTGTACATGTTGAGGCATGTCTTCAACACTCAGCCAGGCAGTTGATAGCCTTTGGCTTCACTTTCTGCTTGTGCAGGGCTCTACATCAGCCAGAGGGAATGCTCAGAGCCTAGTCAGGTCTTTTCTGAGCATGTGCACAATCCTGGGAATGCACACAGCCCTATGCATGCATGTGGTCTTCTAAATTCCCAGGAATATGCCCAAGATTTTCAAAGCCCTAAGGAATCTCATTCCTCAGCTTTTCCTTTTTTAAGCTTTTTGGTTAGCTGTCGATGTTATCCACTGCCTCAGGCAGCTGAGAAGTTATTTGATTGCCTCCAACGATTTTCAAAGAAAAAGACCCTGGGGAAAAAAGGTTTTGTGCAGCTCTGAGTCAGGTCAAATAAATATGGTCTTCCAAGTGGGATCTTCCTGGGAACCGCTGGACAGATCAAATAATGACACACTAGAAAGGAGGCCTTAAAAGAGCTCTAACCCCATTCTGTCTCCTCTGAGGGCTGCCGGGCTACTGCTTTTCCCAGTGATTTTCAAGGCTACTGCATAGGGATGGGAATAGAGTGATTTAAAACACCACAAAGCTCACCGTTCTTACCAACATGCTCCCCGGATTGCTGCAAACCTTTAGTTAATTTCCAGAGTTCTGACAGAAGTTGATTCTGACCATTTCTGCCCATTTTTTTCATTACTATTATGGAAATATTTTTTTCCAGAGGTCCTTACTCTGCCATTTTTGCTAATGTCTTATTTTAACAATATGTTTTCCAGCAGTTGACTACATTTCTAAGTGTTATTTTGGAAAATTGCAAGTAAATGAGAAAAATCCGAGAGAGAGAGAGAGAGAGCAGTTGACTACATTTCTAAGTGTTATTTTGGAAAATTGCAAGTAAATGAGAAAAATCCCTTTGAGAAACAATTTTTCTCATAGGGCTTAACAAAGGCACTTGTACATCAAGGTTCCTAAATTCTGTGGGGATTGTGCTAAAGAAACACCACAAACTGTATAAGTGAAATCAAAAGGCCATAGAATCTCAGGGCCAGGAGAGGCCTGAGATATAGGGTAACTTCTTTGTAGGTCACCCAATTCTAACAGCATGCCAGGACACTGCTATTTCCAAAATAGCCTTCTCAGTAATACATATATATTTAACATACAGTAAGAGCACATCTTCTGAAACATAGGAAAATGTCCATAAGGGGATAGGTATGGTAATGGCTGAATATTCATTTGTATTTCATTCCATAAACTTTACAGAGTACCTACTATGTATTAAGCATAGAGGATAAAACATCAGTGAAATACAGCTTCCATCTTCTAAAAGCTCTCTTTTACTTCTACTTTTTATTTTTTTTGGTACGGCATG